CTCGCTTCACTCGCCCATCAAAGTTTACTTAACGTTTCATTGAATATAGTGTATTATATATAATGTATTCATTATTTGGTAAAATAAGTAATGATGGGCGAGCGAAGCGAGTCATGAAAAGCGACTGTTTCCATGGATTCGAAACGAGTTTATGGGATTACAATCGTTTTCAGGACTCGCTTCGCTCGCCCATCAAAGTTTACTTAACGTTTCATTGAATATAGTGATGTATTCATTATTTGGTAAAATAAGTAATGATGGGCAAGCAAAGCGAGTCCTGAAAAGCGACTGTTTCCATGGATTCTAAACGAGTTTAGGGGATTACAATCGTTTTCAGGACTCTCTTCGCTCGCCCATCAAAGTTTACTTAACGTTTCATTGAATATAGTGATGTATTCATTAGTTGTTAAAGTAAGTAATGATGGGCGAGCAAAGCGAGTCCTGAAAAGCGACTGTTTCCATGGATTCGAAACGAGTTTAAGGGATTACAATCGTTTTCAGGACTCGGTTCGCTCGCCCACCAAAGTTTACTTAAGGTTTCATTGAATGTAGTGATGTATTCATTAGTTGGTAAAGTAAGTAATGATGGGCGAGCGAAGCGAGTCCTGAAAAAGGATTGTTTCCACCGATTGATTAATTGTTGATAGCTTAAATTTAAGCCATATGTAAACACAGGTTTCATCTTAAACTTAAAGTATCAACAGATTCGATCAAGATTTCTGTCAACAAAATACCTAGAAACAAACATCAATAATTTACAGATTGAATTGAATAATGGTAAAGTCCGTGCGGCACAATTGCATCACGGATGCAAATAACGTTTGGAAAAGAACTGAAATCTCGTAGAGAGAGAGAGAATACAGTGGATAAAAATAGATTAGGAAGCAGAAACAAACACCCAGAGAGCAATAGAATTTCGCGGCGTCGGGAGAAGAGAAAAAGAGAGCTAGCTGTAGTAGTAGATCAGTGACGCAAGGCGTTTAAAAATAAATCCGCCCGCTTTTGCATTCGCATCTCTACACTCTCTCTCTCCTCTCAATTCCAAAAGAAAAACGCATGAGATGAAAAGAGAAGAATTACGAAAAATAAATTAATAAAATGTTTTGATTACCGCCAGTTTCGATGACGAAGAATCTTCGTTCACTTTAACACCGCATCCCATAATAAGTTAAGAACGAACAAAAAAAAAACAAACAATAACATGAGAGACACGGCTACCATCCGCGACACACTTTCAATGAATACTACAGGCAGCTAGTGTATCTACTACAGAAACTAAAGTTGCGAGTGGAAAGAGAGAGAGAGCGAGCGCATACGATAAATTTAGAAGCGCCGCATCCGCGCCGCAAAACATCTTCAGCACTTCAGTGTTTATTCGATCTGGTTGTTGCTGGTTGATGCCAATAAATGATGAGACGAAGAAGATGGAGGTAGCAAACGTTAGACCACCGATTCGGACTGATTCACCCGTGCAAATAGCAGAATAGGAACGAACGCTCTACTCTACTCACGCCAGCAGAAGGAAACCTACTTTCAAATTCCTCTTCTACTGCCACCGCCGTTGCTTGAACTGAGTAAACTTAGAAGAACAAAAAAAAAACCAGAACGTACAACACGAAGTGAAAATACTGAAACGCTGACCTACGTTTTTCGCAATCATATGAATCGATGGAATGTCGCGTTACATCAACAGCGACCAAAGAAGAAAGAAGGAGAAAGACTAGAAAAATCTGCTTTACAGCAATGGTTTTATTAGTTTTACGGAAGACGGAAAGCCAAATGTGGAATGACAACGTCCACTTCGCCTTCTTATTTATGTTACACAATCACTTCTTTTATTCAATTTACATTCTTACTATACACAACAAGATGATTCGAAAGAAAACATATTTTCCTTTCTTATAGATTACTGAAAGTACTTATAAGTAAGTGAAGTTGTTCAAAAAACCCAATTAATTTTCAAAATTGTTACATATTATTATTTTTTATCTGACAAAGCTCCATCTTGTTTAAAATACGGCACATTCTCCAGCATATCAGGGAATCAATTCCATTCCATTATTACGAAAATCCGTCGGCGAATTACGCTCCGGAATACTTACATCTATTAAGTGGAACGCGCGAAATGTTCCACAGCTTTTCAACTATTCCCTAAATTTCATATTATTATTTATTATCATTAAAAGAATGAACCAGTTTTTAGTATATAACGCGCCTATACATGATTTTGGTAGTAAAGAGTGTCCCAAAAAGAGCTGACATTTTAAATTTGCCGCCATTTTTTTTTGCAAAAAAAAAAACCAGACTAGAGATTTTTTATGCTTTCATTAGTGTACATTGAGGTTTCATTCTAAATACTAAAAATATACTTTCTATTATATTAATGGTAACAATCAAGTAGTTATTAGACATGCAAAATAGATCTTAATTTCAGTTTGCAGATTAAAAAAAAAAATCTATACATATTCACGTGAGAAACAAGAGGCGAGTGAAAAAAAGTGCAATTAGTTTAGCATTCTTTTCAAACTTAAAAAAAAACACCACCACTATTAACGTTGTTGTTGTTTTTTTTTATTTCCCACGAATCGACAACGTTCAATAAAACTTTTGTGCGATTGTCGGGGCATTCTTTCTTTGGTGGCGTGCAACCAACCGAACATATAAAGCTCACTTGACCAGAAATCCGCTGCGAATTTAAGCTGTGAAATTCCAATGTGCATGAGAAAAATCTACTATGCAAATCGATTCAAAGAAAGTAAAGTAAAGAAAAAAATAGTTGAAAATTACAATTTAGAAATATTTATAGACAAATATCCATAATTCAATAGTTTAAATTAATGGGAACAAACAAATGCAGTATTCAATAAGCTTTGTTTGGTAATTGAGGTGTTTCCTTAGCAACAATAGTAACCTTAAGAACCTTTGATTCTACAAATGTTTGTAAAATATAATTAGAAAAATGAGTGAAAATTGAGTAAAAATCTACAAACTAAAATGTTGTAGTAAGTAAAGAAGATATAAAAGTTAAACTAATTGAAGATTTAGTGTACGTTGTGTAGAAATGATGGGTTTGGTAGTTTTGGAAACCATCATGATGGACGATGTCCATCCATATTGCTCCAAGTCTTCATTCTATCGAGTGAGTTGTTGTTGTTGGTCGTGTGTAGCGTGCACGTCTGTGTCTGCGTGTTTGGAGAGAAGGGAATAATGGAAAGGATGTAAATTGTGGAAAGGAAGGCTGGAAGGGAATTGTGGTGGTCAGTATTGACGGGAACAGCGGAAGGGCGTAAAGGAAGTCGTCCCTTTGATGACGACGAGGACGGAACGACAATGAATACACAGAGTCGAACAGAGAGAGGGAGTCATGTTTCACTTACAGGTTTGGTGTCTCCGGAGCCCAGGAGCGGCGAGTGAGCCTGAAACAATGAAAACGCGCACAGTTTTAGTACACAGTGTATACAGCCCTTCGTTTTTCCCACCCTTATCTGCGCCAGACAGGACAGGAGACCGCTTCCATATAAAATCAAGTTACAATTACATCACAAAACAAACGAACAAACAAAAACAAAACAGAGAAACAAAATCCCTGTCCAACAACGACAGTGAAAGAATTGAAAGGTTTGTTTTTTTTTTGTTTATTTGTTGGCTGCAATTTCAGTCGATTACGGAACGCTTCCGTTCATTCGACGCCGTTTATTTAATATCACATGCAAATTACAACGAACTGCGCCCATTTGCATTCCTCTTTCACATTATTCAATCGCTATTTCATATTCAAAGCTACTTTAAACTAAATTGAAAATTAACATTTCGCACATATGAAATTTAATTTAGTAAAGCATACATTCAACAAAAGAAAAATTAGCCTTCCTTCATTACATCCAAGTTGTACCTCAAGGTAATGTGCTTTACCCTGTCAATATATAATTAGATTGCGGTTGCTATGCGACCGCCGGAAATTGACGGCGACGTTGAATACGATTGAATTGACAAGTGTAATTCGTGCACAATTTTCCAATGAAAAAAAAAAGAGTAAAATTCGGACGTCCGAATCAGAGCTGTGCCGCATTACGCCCGCATTATTTAAATTTCGCGCCGCGAAACATCATCAACATCACGCGCTATATTATTGACAGCTCAGTCACGATTTATTGCATCGTATTTCACATCAAGCAAACCATTGTCAGTTTGATACAGAGAAAAAAAAATAAAGAGAAGAGAATTTCCATATCATAAATATAACAATTTTCTACATTGATTTTAAATTCTTTTCTTACAATTTTCATCATACATTAAAACAAAAAAAAAATCATTATTTTAAAGTTATTGATGTTAAATAAAATTTGGTTAGATTTTTCGTAAAATTTAAGTTTTGGAGACAAAAATGTTTCTAAATTGACAAAACCGAAATCCGAAAGAGAAGGATAAAGGACGAACGAAAAAGTAAAGTAAATTGGAAAAACAGGGCAGAAGAAAACACGCGATGTTTCCACTAGATCGATTAAGTATTTTTTTTTTAAATGTTGACTAAAAATTACAATTATCGAGTGCACAAAGTAGAACGAATCATTATTGAATAAGTAGACTGCAACTGTCGTTGACCAAGAGAAGTGTTACGTAAAAAAACGATGAAATATTAGATCTTATCAAAACTGTGCACCTATGTTTGATGTAGGACGGAGATGATGAATTGCTGTTTGGATGGGAAACCTCTGTTATCTCACAAACTAAACCCCCGAAAAGAGTCTATAAACGCTCTTCACCGACATCGTTTATATTACATTATGGAACTCGATTCGCCCCAAACGTTATGTGTGCAGTTGTGTGAATTCTGAAGGAATCTATAGTTAAAGAAAAGGTGAAGCAATAGAAATATAAGTGAAAGAGCTACAGGAAAAAGAAAGAAAACTTGGTCACTTTTCATTTACCCAAGTTATTATCATCATCATCATCATGAAACGAAATGAAGGAAAAGAAGCAGTCTTTATTTACTTTCTGATACTTTTCACACTTCTTTTCTTCTTTTCAGCAGGACGCACACTACGTATTATTATTACTACTACCACCGTTGCTACAAAACTCCGTGTTTCGTCTGCAAATGACACTTTTATTAAACTTTCCGACGTGCACAGGGACGTGACAGAGGCGCGCAGGTTTCTTCCGCAGGATACTCATACACACACACACATAAAAATGAAGAAGAAAGAGGTGAAAGACGTGCCAGGCACGAAGAAAACGTTAACTAAAACGGGACACACGAAGAGACACGAAATTAATAAAATTCGCATTTGTTACAACTACGAATCTATTCATATAAAGTAAAGATTATAAAGTAATCATTTTTTTTGTACACCCATGAAAACAAATTTGAATTACTTTAATTGTAACAATTTACAAATTACATTTCTTTTTACATTTTTATATAATTTATATATCGAAATACCGACTATGTCAAAATCACGACTACCATAATCCCGACAATCAAAATACCGACTATATCGAAAACCCGACAGTGTCTTTTATTATTATAAATTTCTACAATAACATTTTTATGGTAGTCGGGATTTTGATTGTCGTGATTTTGACAAAGTCGGGATTTCGATATAGTCTGCATTTCGATATAGTCTGCATTTCGATATAGTCGGGATTTTGACATAGTCGGGATTTCAAGCGTTGGAATTTTAATACAGCCGGGATTTAGAACGTCGGGATTTCAATATACGATTTTTCGGTTGTCGGGCTTGCGATATAGACCCTTTATATTGTATAATTTTTTAAATTAAGATGTAAATTGGGTTGCATAATGAGTATTATTAGACGATTCCGATAGTCCATTAAGCTCGATTACGGTTTGACCGGTTTCGGATTTCCATATGTAGCGGACTTAATTGAGAAGTGGGGGATTACATAATCAAACGTTAATTTCCGGATTACGGCGGCAGGTCAGTTCAGCCTAAATGGCTTTTGTTTGGACATCCTTAACAACAACCAAAAAAAAAAAACATAATTACAACTTTGATTTTGTATATATGAAAAATAATGGTTTTGGTCAACCCTGTTCTATTTCATATATTTTCATTGAATTAAAGCTTCTATAATTCTTCATTCAATCACTTGTTTTATTATTTCCCTAGAAAATAGCGAAGTTGTTGTTGATGTTGATGGTCGACCAATGTTTGGCATTGTTTGTTTTATAACTATCCCTGGAATATCATCGTCTTACGCAACGGTGCGCTTTAGTATTATTACATATCTGGAACTTCTCTCGCACATTTTCGTTTCCCCATTGTCCGTTTCACGCGTAACATATAGAATTTTTTTTTGTTGCCCGGGAAGTTTAAACGTTGTTCGGGCCATAAAATACGCGTTTCGTATCTCCGCAACACACCCTTTCCATATTCGCATTCGATACTAGCGACCTCTATCCATAGCCAAAACTTTTCCTTTGTACCAACCATCATCATCATAATCATATTCGAAAAGGCAAATACGTGAGGCGGCACTAATTGAACATTACCCGACCGGAGGTACATTAACGGCCGTCCTCTTGTCTTCTCGTCTATTCTACATTCACCCACGAAAAGGTATATATTGAATCTAAATTGCCTGGATCATCCGTGCGTACTATACATATATACTAAGGATAAAATCAACCTCGTTTCACGTAATTTAAAATCATCCTTGCAGTAAGAGAGATTAGCTTACAGCTAGAACAAAAGCAAAGCGTATCCTAATTGCTAAACTTGCCGCAACAATCAAACTGTTATTAAGTTAGCGGTTGCTAAGGGGTTGGAGGGAACGGTGTAGTTCTCCGCACAAACTGTAAATTACGCTTACGTTCCCATCGCGCGCCGCTGCAACTGGAATGGGACATGATTCAAATGATCGCCCCATTGGGACCCATCTCCAGATGAAAGAGCCCATATTAATTGTTGTTTTTGTTCAATGATTAAGTGCACCGCTGCATCTACTTTCTACATATGCATTTCGAGTCTACTTAATCAAACACATTTTCACGTTAATTTTACATCTATAAAACCTACTTTGTAATCTAAATTCTATATAAACTTTAGTACAATTACTAATTTTCAAATAAAATTTTGGACAACCCTGTTCTTTTTCATATTAATGTCCATTTTCCTACTATAAAGAAGTCGAATTTTATAGTTTCAGACTAAAAAAAAATAATTTGGAATGAAATTCTTTCTTATAAGGAAATTTCTTTAAGATATTACATGGAAATTGAAAGAATATCAAGTTTTATTACCATATAAATAGTGTCTGAGTAGGAGGAAATCAGAAGGTAATACCGTTACGTATGGATTACGTAGAAAATGCGATCTAAATTTCATCTTCATACAATCACGACAAAGTACATTTAAGTGTGCGTGCACCTTTATAAATCGATGAATAATTCAAGCATCCAAAAAAATTTATTATTTGATATTTGTTCGTAGTATGCAACATTTTAAATGTAGATTGATCATGAATATCGCATCACCTGAGAAAATGCCTCAAAAAGAAAAAAAATGCGAGACGGTTAAGGGTGGATGTAAAGTGTGTGTTTGCAGGATACGATCGATCCTGCGACGCTCTTCTCTCCTATTTTCGCATCGATTATAGCATGCAAAGTCACGTAACTAAATGCCACCATACAATAACCGGGGTTGCTGCAGGAAATGAGATACGAACGTGCAACAATTGCATCCCAAAAAAGAACAAAGAAGTAAGTGTTGAAGAGGTAACTGTTTGCAGGATTGAATTCTTGATACGTTTGTTTAGAATGTAACGGTGAAATGCAAAGGATTTATGAATACGAGTTTGAGAATATAGATGTGAATCGATGGTTTGTTGAGAAGTATATGAAATAGAACAGGGTTGTCCAATTGATCGATTTTAAGAAGTTTTGTGTAAATTAAATGAAAAGTTTATACGAAAAGTTATATATTTATGATAGATCATTTTTTTTTTGTAAACTAGACTAGAGTTTTTAGTTTGAAGCTCAAAAAGTTTTGGGTGAACCATAAAATATGCAAATACTTTAAGAATATTGTTTTAAATCGAGGGTATGTTGAGAAGTATACGAAATAGAACGGGGTTGTCCAAATTTTTTGTTATTCGATTTTAAGATGTTTTGTGTAAAGTGAATGAAAAGTTTATACGAAAAGATATTTATTTATGGTGGATCTAGTTTTTTCAAAAACTAAACTAGAGTTTTTAGTTTGAAGCTCAAAAAGTTTTGGGTAAACCATATAATATGCAAAGACTTTAAGAATATTGTTTTAAATCGATGATTTGTTGAGAAGTATAGGAAATAGAACATGGTTGTCCATTTATTTTTTATTCAATTTTAAAAAGTTTTGTGTAAAGTAAATGAAAAGTTTATAGGAAAAGTTATATATTTATGGTGGATCTATTTTTTTTTGTAAACTAGATTGGAATATTTAGTTTGAAGCTCAAAAAGTTTTGGGTAAACCAAAAAATATGCAAAGGTTTGTTGAGAAGAATACGAAATAGAACAGGGTTGTCCAATTGATCGATTTTAAGAAGTTTTGTGTAAATTAAATGAAAAGTTTATACGAAAAGTTATTTATTTATGGTGGATCTAGTTTTTTGTAAAATAGACTACAGCTTTTAGTTTGAAGCTCAAAAAGTTTTGGGTAAACTATAAAATATGCAAAGATGTTCGACTTTAAGAATATTGTTTTAAATCGATGGTTTGTTGAGAAGTATACGAAATAGAACAGGGTTGTCCAATTTTTTTGTTATTCGATTTTAAGAAGTTTTGTGTAAAGTAAACGAAAAGTATATGCGAAAAGTTATATATTTATAGTGGATCTATTTTTTTATAAACTAGACTAGAGTTTTTAGTTTGAAGCTCAAAAAGTTTTAGGAAAACCATAAAAATCGATGGTTTGTTGAGAAGTATACGAAATAGAACAGGGTTGTCCATTTTTTTTTTTTTAATAAACGAAAAGTATATGCGTTTTAGACTTTAAGAAGATAGATTTAAATCAATAGTTTGTTGGAAATGGTTCTAGTAAAAGATATAGTAAATAACATGTAGCTGCGAAAAGGCAAATGCATTATGTAATAAATCTATAACGAATATGTTTAGTAATCATTTGAATGTGAATCGTGCAGAAAAAAAGTCGAGTGTAAAAGAGGTAGCAGCAGCAACAACAACACTTGGTTAGCAATTCGAAGATAAATAACGCATTTAACGACGCAATAAAGCATTCACCGAAGGAAAACGAAAGCTTTTAGCGTTTTAAATTTGCACGTTTTTTGGACGCTGAAAATATATCCTTTTCTCCCCCCAAACAGGTTTAATTTACGATTGTTTTTGCGGAACACATGAATACCTCGCGGAACTCCTGCGGGATTCATTTGATTTTCATTTACAAACAGTTTACGGCCAAAAATTTCATTGGAATCAGGGATAAACTAAACCGATTTCCACTCTTTCTTCTTTTTTTATGCTCGATATGCAAATTCGGCGAAGGGCGGAAGATGCGAAGTGAACAAAAAAAAAGAGAAATGGAGAAGAAGATGCGGAAGGAGACGTCCCTAATCCGAGCGTAATTGAATCATCCTTTTTCTATAGCCGCCTCTGGGCTTCCTTAAAACGTTCCCTCGAGGAAGACGTTTTTTGTTGTTCTTCAGGAGAGGAGCGTCGAAAATAAAGCAGATGCAAATTGGAAATCGTAATTTCAGACTTGTAACACAAAGAAACAACGGGAAAACAAGCCAGATTTAAAAGTAGTTTGTATAGTGAAATAGAACAGGGTTGACCAAACCATTATAATCTGTAACACGATAATAAAAACTGAAAGAAACAACGAGAAAACAAGCCAGATTTAAAAGTAGTTTGTATGAAATAGAACAGGGTTGACCAAACCATTATAATCTGTATAGAAAACAGAACAGGGTTGGCCAAAACTATTATAAAAATTCTAAATACAAGCATCAAATGAAGAGATGCAATTTTCCATTGTTCCTTTCTTCACAAACATGAGAAAAAAAACCGGTAAATTTCATAATACACAACTTTCCAGCGGACTAAGCATGGGGGGTGGGGGGTACATTTTAATTTCGCGTACTATATAGGATGCGAGAATGGATGGGGTTGGGTGAAGGGAAGTTCCGGAGCGTAGGAAATTGCACACGACGGAATTATTATCGTCATGAACTATTAGCAAAGTGGTTCAACAATTTTGCGAGCTGCTACAGCTCCTTCCCCTTTTCCCTGAACCAGCAGGAATAACCCTCCTGCTAAATTCTACACACACATATACATACATTTTTGCAGCAGGATTTTCAAAGCGTATAAATAACTAATTCCTGAATAATTGATCCTACTCCGACCATGAATAATACACAAAAGCTTTCGGTCGAATACTTGCACCTAAAGTTTGTCACTCTCGCCCTCTTTCACTCACTTATACCTACTAAGTTTGGAGTGAAGGAATGAGAAGGAGAAAGAGAGTTCCTTAGAGAGAGGCGAAAACGCTCGCACTAAAAGCTCTTTAAACGCGTCGCCAAAGGATTTGTTACCGGCACTCTTTTTCAAAGCGACAATCAAAGGGAAATTCGGTGCTGTTTCGACGAAAATGAGAACTTAAAAGCTTCACTACATAGTTAAAACAAGATTATTTTGTAAATTTTTGCTCGAAACGTTTCATTACTTAAATAGATGCATAATTAAATGAATACTCTTAAGTACTATACATTAATCTTAATTTAAGAAATTTTACTACTAAACATAAGCGTTTTCATGGTTTAATTACTGAAAGCTTAGTTGTAATAAAAAGCACGTGTTTTCTATTTAAAGTTTCAAAACTTTGAGAAAAACGTTGAAAAAATTGACGTTTGAACAGTGATACCAATAAATTTGCAAAACCAAAACTGTCATTGAATGGAGTAGTTGAAAAATAAACTAGAAAGTAAGTTTGGGTCGAACGAAATTGACTCGAGCAACATGAAAAGTTTGCGCGCAAGTAAATCAAACCGAAAAAAAAAGGAGAGGTTTAAGAAAAGTTATAACCTAAAGTCAATATTTGTAAAAGCTAGTCTAGATTGGGAGAAAACTTGCGCCGATTTGCATATGCT